GAGAGAGAGAGAGAGAGAGAGAGAGAGAGAGAGAGAGAGAGAGAGAGAGAGAGAGAGAGAGAGAGAGAGAGAGAGAGAGAGATTGGGAAGGCCGGTGGAGAAGCTATGGAGGTTCTGCTAGGCCAAATGAGGTCTTGTCATCGTACCATAAGACCTTCATTAGATGACACACTATATGAGCTCTCCTTATCATGATTCATATCGCTAAGTAGAAACGTTCAGGTATTCAGAGGTCTTATCATTCTTTGAGTGGCAGCATCTATGCAGGTTGATCGATCGCTTTGCTTGAGGGGTCTTTTTTTGGGCCCTCTTTCAGATGGGTGGGAGGGGAAAGCTGCAAGGAGTGTGAATGAAATGAAATCGTCTCAATGTGGGCAAAGCTGTCCATCTCCAGTAGTGAAGTTGACATATGCCTTATACACTGAGAAACGAGCTGAGTTTATGCCCTTGCCTTCGTAATAGAGGAGTCATTGTTCTAAGATTGAGAGTTCGCTTCGATGTGCAATATCCCGGGAGCGGAAGAGAGGGCAGCTTACCCCAATTTGTGGGATTTTACGTATTTTTGATGTGAAAGGGAGTGTATAGGCCTACCGGTTTAGAGGCGTGATTATGTGGGGTGGCGGCAGGAGCTGCAAGGGGTTTGCATACGCATGAGGAATCCTCCCTCAGCAACCGTGCTCCTGTTGGTGTATGAGAGGTGCGGATCCAAAATGTCTGGAAATATGGGCGATTTAGCTTCTCCGATTGCAGGTACGTGCTTTGCAATCAGCTGCATCGTCACTTTGGTGACTGCGTTGTGGAGGATGAAGATATAGCCTGCTTTGGTTTTGTTTGTTTTGTGGTGGTGAGCGCAGATAGTTCTCTTTCCTGACTGAACGTTTTCGTTCTTTTTTTTCCAAGATGCTGTCTTATGAGGACTCAATAAGATGATTTTTGTCCATAAATGTTCGGCCGTTTGTGTGAGTGCATCTCAACCATTCATTGTCATTGCTGGTACTTGTCTGAGAATTTGACAAAAGCCATGTGTGTCTGAATAGGCACATCATCTGGCCGCGTTACTTCCATCTGCATTCGTGAGATTGAAAAAGGAACGAGTGCAAGCAAGTACGTCTTCATTGACTTGTCAATGAACTACACCTCTCCAATTCCAGTGTGTGTGAGGGAGGCTGAGTTATGCTGAAGAAAAAAATGTCTGCGACATGTAAGTATCCACCTTTTGCCAGTGTGAAGCTCAGGTAAATGCCTACCACAGACATTCAGTTTTGCCACAGGTCTCCGTGAAAGGGTGCTATGTGTTTTCACCTGAGGAACCAGAAGATGTGGATCGCTGGATACGGTAAGGGCTCAAGATGGGCTCAGTTTTGAAATCTGCTTTTTCCCGGTCTGTGCAGTTCGCGATGATGAAGTGCTCATCTGCTTTCCCTTCTCTTGTTCGTCCTCGCAGGCCTACAGTAGTAAATGGATGCTGGCATCGTCTGCTGCATTTAGAGTTTTTTTATGTTTCTTTTTCCCCATTCTTAGGGCATACTCACACTGCGACCCCAAATCCGCAAAGTATGGAGATTTGTGGTTTTGGGCATGGTTCCAGGCGCACTGCTGTTCCTTTTCAGATGAGACAAGGCCCTGGCCGTCTGGAGCAATGGTGATTTGGTACTTTGCTGGTCACATGGCACCATCCACAAATTGTGGAAGAACTTGTGAACGAATTTTCACCAATTCTCGAAGGAAGTGCGAAAAAATAAGTAGGGCATTTGTGGTCATCTCCAGAGGTGACCGCAAATTCCCTTGTCCTGCGGCTACACAGGCCGCTGACAAATGGGCACACTTTTTTATTTTATTTTATTAAATAGTGTCTTTTCTAGGAGAGGTGGTACGAGCACTCCCTCCTAGCAAAAGTCCTGGGTGCTCCGGTCTATGGGTGGGGAGCAGCACCTGCTGGAAAGCAGGTCCAGCGTCCCACTATACACCAGAAGGCCTGATAGCATTGATTGCCCTGTTTCCAGGGGATTGACTGTGCAGTGTTAATGATAGATGTGTTGGAGTACAGCACACTTTGGGGCATGCATCCGCCTCTTCAGCCTGCACTAGACCACCAGATCACTCTCGTGTCCCTGGGGGCTATGCTCGGCGTCTTCTGCATGCACCTCCGGCTGTGACCAGCTACCAGCCCGCCATGTAGTGCTTGTTCAATATGTTCAGACGTCTTCCATATCCTGCTCGTAGACCTGCTCCGACCTTATTTGGTCCCTTCGACCTGTGATCTTGCTCAATCTGCTCCATACCATTGCATGTCCACCATTGCCAACTGGTGGGGCGGGAAGGGGTTGGGAAATTCTGTGGATGGTTGCATCGGCATCTCCTGGCCCACCGTAGTCTAGTACCTGAAGCAAATACGATAAGTCTTTCCTGAACTCTTTTTGGTTACATTCCTGGGCAGGCTTGCCGTCCCATCTGACGGAGGCAATCCAGGCCCCGTTCTCACTGCCTAACCAGTCCCTGAGATTTGACGAGTCTTGCTTGTATTATATCTTGGATCTGGTTGGTTTTTACTTTTTGCCACTGTACCATGAGTTATCATGTTTGTTGCCTCTTCCCCAGCTACAACAGAAAAAATGTGGCAATTTTTTTGCCACGTTGAACCTATGTTGACACCACATTTCAACTTTTATAAACGGTTGGCCGGGGGGGGGGGGCATGTGTTCAACACAAACTGAAGGAAACCAACATTGACCGTATATTGGGGACACTGAAACTTGTGTGTTCAACTGTTGGATCAACTGTTGACAGATAGTTGGTCCAACTGTTGATCCATTGTTGGTAGCTTGTTGAAATCTTGTTGAAGAGTTGTTGAAATGTTGTTGAAACCTTGTTGAAATGTGTTGAAACGTGTTGAAAGTGTGTTGGAATGTGTTGAAATGTGTTGGACCGTGTTGAAACAGGGTATTGGACCGTGCGCAATAGCAGTTTCGGTTACGGGTCATTTGCGTTGTCCGGGGGTGGGTTGTAGCTGTGTTTTCCTCGTTTAAGGACTGAGCACGTTTTGGAGTACGAAGATCACATGGGCGAGCACGTGATGATTGCAGTGACTAATGAAATTGAGGGATCAGAGACTGATGATGAGAGAGAGAGAGAGAGAGAGAGAGAGAGAGAGAGAGAGAGAGAGAGAGTCCAAGAGAGAGAAAGAGATGCTGTAGGCTGCCGACGAACACATTTCGGGCCTCGTACAAACAAGGTTGACTTTAGGTGTTCGACGAACACATTTCGATTAAATGCTGGGCTGCCCTCCGTACAAACAAGGTTGACTATTGCGGGCCGAAAATTGTCCAACACGGCGGTGCTCGACACAATTTGGCACGCAGTAGCTAACCTTCCTTTTCTGTGCCCCTAAGATTGTTGTGCGTGGGGAGCCGAAGTCCACGTTACCCTGCCCTGCAACAAACACTTTTCACCACAGGTTGACAAAATTTTTGGACTTGTTCTCTCACGTGTACGGAGCAGACGTGGGAGACCGTCGATTAAATGCTGGGCTGCCCTCGTACAAGCAAGGTTGACTACTGCGGGCCGCAAATTGTCCAACACGGCAGGGTCCGTCACATTTTGGCACGCAGTAGCCAACCTTCCTTTTCTGTGCCCCTAAGATTGTTGTGTTTCTATATAAGGCGATTTGGCGTGGGGAACCTCAGTCCACGTCACCCTGCCCTGCAACAAACAAGTTTCACCACAGCTTGACAAAACACATTGTTGTGTCATGTTACCATTACAGAGTCAGCCGCACACACCACTCAATTGCACAAAGATGAGCATTACAAATGTTTGTATAATTGTGTATAAAAAATAACAGAAGTTGTGTAGTTATCAGACTGTATGGAGCATACGGCTCGCAATCCTCAGGCGGTGCACGTGCGTGCAAGCACTCACTCTCTCTCTCTCTCTCTTCTGCAAAACTGAAGGTTTATATCTTCCTCTCTCTCTCTCTATCCTGCACCGACTGTGGCCTTCGATTTTGCATCTCCTGGTTCGAAACGTCTAAAAAAAGAACCTTTCGTTCCACCGTTTGGTCATTGCCCCGCATCCTCCCTTCCATGTCGAAATGTTGTCAAACTGTCCCTCGTTGTTCAGGGTGCGGCGCACAGACTGTCGGTGCGCCTGTCCCCATCTCCGGCTGCTGTACTCTGAGGGAGAATGAACTTGATGTCGTAATCGTCATCCGTTATTGTGGTGCTTGGAGGCCCAGGCCTGTGGACAGACGGCGTGCYARAGCGAAAGAGCGTTGCTGCCTTCTCAGCCACGGATACGGAACGGTCCAGTTTGAAGACGGAAAAACTCATTACCGTGTCTTGGCTACGGAGAGATGAGACGATTGCCTGCTTTATAGATACCAATTTTTCTATCTGCTCCGCAGCTCGTGTCGTCTTCGTTGTCTGTTCTATCTCACATTAAATGACCATCTCCGCAAAAGCCAGTTGCTGCAGGGTGACGCCCAAGTTCCGGCCTTCCTTCCTCATCTGAAAGACTTTTAAGAGTGCCGTCTTGAAGGCGGGGGCGCCCCACGGATCGTCGCCGCTCCGTCTCCACGTTTTGTTCTCCTTCATCTCGGTGCGCATCTTATTGCGAGCGGGGAGGTGGTGGTCCGTTTGCTGCGATCCGACGAGCGGAATCCCTTTTTCAGCCCAAAACCAATGTTTCAGCTGCCATGTAATTTCTCCGCGGATCGTCGTCATCATTTTGTTGCATTCCCCTATAACAGCTCGAATCCCGCACTCTGCTATGTGAGACCGCAACCCTTCCTCTGCTGTCTCCCCTGCCAGTTTCGCCGTTGCTTGCACCGCCGCGAAAAACACGTCCTCTGTCGGGTACAGAGTTGCGCCGTTTACCGCAGAGAACGCAAAGGCTTTGGCGACGGAACGCAACAGCTTGCCCTTCATTTTCTTCGCGAATGCGGCGCCCTCGTCCTTCGGTCCTTGCACGGCTCCGCTGCTTGCGCGCACTTTCGTTCGTGACGTTGCGATCGGTGGGAAACAGAAGATACAATGCACAGGAGAGTGTTAACAACTCAACGCCTTGTTTTGAATACAGCACTTGCAAAATTGAAGATTCGGCTATCAGCTGTGCGTTTACAAAGACACTTCTCCGTGCGTAAAGGCGTGCACTGCGTGGGGGCACGGGATTATGTGATCGGAGTGGGAGGGGAGTCAGTGCGACGCGGGGTTTTTCACCTTTTTCGGCGGCGCTGACGTGCCATACGATTTGTCTGTCACCGACACGCTTATCGGTGTCGCTGCCATTGCGTGCCTGTCGTTCTCCTTCTCTGCGCAGCGTCCTCGAAGGAAATGGCGAACCACCTCTTTCCGAAGCGGCGCTCTGGTCTTCGCCGGTTCTCTCGCTGACCGACTTGCCGTCGCTGTCGTCGTCCTCATCGGTGTCTTGCGATTGTCTGCGGGAAGAATCGCTGTCGTCTCCCTCATTTCCTGGCTCCTCGTCCTCCGCACCATCTGACTTCTCTGGCGCGGAACGGTCGTGTTCCTCCTCTTCTTCCACTTGGGGTCCGTTGTGCCTGTCGTCAGACCCTCTAATATCGATTGTCTCCACTGTTCTGTCGTCTTTGTAGGATATTCTCTTCTTTGTTCTGCGGTGCGTAGTCGCACTTCTATCATCCCGCGATTTTTTTTCCGGGGCCCTAGGCGGACGGTTCTCGGCGCCGCTTCCGCGCTTTCCCCGGACGGGGGTCGAGGGGGGCGACTCGTTACGTTCTTTCAGCGTTGAAATCTCCCGTGCACTCGAAGGGACTGTAACTTTTGATCCGGATTTGCAGTTGCGCTTGTGCTCCGTTTTCGCAGAGGGGCGGGCGCCGCTTCTGCGATGCTCTTTCGACTGCTTCTTTTCGGCCCTCGATTTCTTCCGGCACTTGTCCTTCTTTCCCGCGGCTCTCAAAGACTTGCACAGATCCTCGTATTTTGGCCTTGGAGCCATCACCCCTTTTTTCCCACATGCATCAAAGTGGAATAAGAACCACAAATGCGTCAGTGATGTTGTTTGTCACGCAGAGAGAGAGAGAGAAGAAGAGAGAGAGAGAGAGAGAGAGAGAGAGAGAGAGAGAGAGAGAGAGAGAGAGAGAGAGAGAGAGAGAGAGAGAGAGA